TGACATATAGAACAGTTAGTCAGCTATGGCATGTGGTACAGTTAGTCAGCTATGGCATATGGTACAGTTGGTCAGCTATGACATATAGAACAGTTAGTCAGCTACAGCATATGGTACAGTTAGTCAGCTATGGCATATAGTACAGTTAGTCAGCTATGGCATATGGTACAGTTAGTCAGCTATGGCATATGGTAAAGATAGCCAGCTATGACATATAGTACAGTTAGTCAGCTATGACATATAGTACAGTTAGTCAGCTATGGCATATGGTACAGTTAGTCAGTAATGGCATATGGTACAGTTGGTCAGCTGTGGCATATGGTACGGTTAGTCAGTAATGGCATATAGTACAGTTAGTCAGCTATGGCATATAGTACAGTTAGTCAGCTATGACATATAGAACAGTTAGTCAGCTATGGCATGTGGTACAGTTAGTCAGCTATGGCATATGGTACAGTAAGTCAGCTATGACATATAGAACAGTTAGTCAGCTACGGCGTATGGTACAGTTAGTCAGTTATGGCATATAGTACAGTTAGTCAGCTATGGCATATGGTACAGTTAGTCAGCTATGGCTTATGGTAAAGATAGTCAGCTATGACATATAGTACAGTTAGTCAGCTATGACATATAGTACAGTTAGTCAGCTATGGCATATGGTACAGTTAGTCAGTAATGGCATATGGTACAGTTGGTCAGCTGTGGCATATGGTACAGTTAGTCAGTAATGGCATATAGTACAGTTAGTCAGCTATGACATATAGTACAGTTAGTCAGCTATGACATATAGTACACTTAGTCAACTATGGCATGTAGTACAGTTAGTCAGCTATGACATATTGTACAGTTAGTCAGCTATGACATATAGAACAGTTGGTCAGCTATGGCTTATGGTAAAGTTAGTCATCTATGACATATAGTACAGTTAGTCAGCTATGACATGAAGAACAGTTAGTCAGCTATGGCATATAGAACAGTTGGTCAGCTGTGCCATATAGTACAGTTAGTCAGCTATGGCTTATAGTACAGTTAGTCAGTAATGGCATATAGTACAGTTAGTCAGCTATGGCATATAGTACAGTTAGTCAGCTATGGCATATAGTACAGTTAGTCAGCTATGGCATATAGTACAGTTAGTCAGCTATGGCATATAGTACAGTTAGTCAGTAATGGCATATAGTACAGTTAGTCAGCTATGACATATAGTACAGTTAGTCAGCTATGGCATATAGTACAGTTAGTCAGCTATGGCATATAGAACAGTTAGTCAGCTATGGCATATAGTACAGTTAGTCAGCTATGGCTTATAGTAAATTTAGTCAGCTATGACATATAGTACAGTTAGTCAGCTATGACATATAGTACAGTTAGTCACCTATTGCATATAGTACAGTTAGTCAGCTATGGCTTATGGTAGAGTTAGTCAGCTATGGCATATAGTACAGTTAGTCAGTAATGGCTTATGGTAAAGTTAGTCAGCTATGACATATAGAACAGTTAGTCAGCTATGGCATATAGTACAGTTAGTCAGCTATGGCATATAGTACAGTTAGTCAGCTATGGCTTATGGTAAAGTTAGTCAGCTATGGCATATAGTACAGTTAGTCAGTAATGGCTTATGGTAAAGTTAGTCAGCTATGACATATAGAACAGTTAGTCAGCTATGACATATAGTAGAGTTAGTCAGTAATGGCTTATGGTAAAGTTAGTCAGCTATGACACATAGTACAGTTAGTCAGCTATGACATATAGTACAGTTAGTCAGTAATGGCTTATGGTAAAGTTAGTCAGCTATGGCATATAGTACAGTTAGTCAGTAATGGCTTATGGTAAAGTTAGTCAGCTATGGCATATAGTACAGTTAGTCAGTAATGGCTTATGGTAAAGTTAGTCAGCTATGACATATAGTAGAGTTAGTCAGTAATGGCTTATGGTAAAGTTAGTCAGCTATGGCATATAGTACAGTTAGTCAGTAATGGCTTATGGTAAAGTTAGTCAGCTATGACATATAGAACAGTTAGTCAGCTATGACATATAGTAGAGTTAGTCAGTAATGGCTTATGGTAAAGTTAGTCAGCTATGACACATAGTACGGTTAGTCAGTAATGGCATATAGTACAGTTAGTCAGCTATGGCATATAGTACAGTTTGTCAGCTATGGCATATAGAACAGTTAGTCAGCTATGGCATATAGTACAGTTACCCAGCTATGACATATAGTACAGTTACCCAGCTATGACATATAGTACAGTTACCCAGCTATGACATATAGTACAGTTAGTCAGCTATGGCATATAGTACAGTTTGTCAGCTATGGGATATGGTACAGTGAGTCAGCTATGGCATATAGTACAGTTAGTCAGCTATGACATATAGTACAGTTAGTCAGCTATGACATATAGTACAGTTAGTCAGCTATGACATATGGTACGGTTAGTCAGCTATGACATATAGTACAGTTAGTCAGCTATGGCATATGGTACAGTTAGTCAGTAATGGCATCTATTACAGTTACTCAGCTGTGGCATAAAGTACACTTAGTCAGCTATGGCATATAGTACAGTTAGTCAGCTATGGCATATGGTACAGTTAGTCAGTAATGGCATATAGCACACCTAGTCAGTAATGACATAAAGTATATACAGTGAGTGAGTGAGTATTGTTTTACGCTGCTTTTAGCAATATTCCAGCAATAACACGGCGGGGGACACCAGAAATGTTCCTGGGTAATGTTCACTCACTCTTCCTGCACTGCTTGTGCCATCCGTCGGAGGTTCTGTGGATGTTGCTGACGTGTTCGCAGTCGTTGATCCAGTGGATTCCATAAATGTTCAAAAAGGCTTAAATCTGGAGACCTGGAGGGCCATTACAGGACCCGGATGTTGTGATTCCTCTAAAAGGCTTTTGTCAGTCTTGCCGTGTGAGGTCGGGCGTTGTCTTGTTGGAAAATGACGTCAGCTTTGAATAATGGGGAGGACGTGTGGCCAAAGAATATCATCCGTGTAACGTTGTGCCGTTTAATTCTTTTGAACTTGCAACCAGTCTGTTCTACCAGTGTAGTGACGTAGCCGTACGAATCTGTCCTGTGCTGTAGAAGTGATTCGTGGTCGACCAGATCTGGGAAGGTCACGTGTCGTCCAGTGTGTCTAATAACGGTTCCACAGTCTTGTAATTGAGCTTGGTGTTACGTGAAAAAACATGGCTGTAGCCGAAAATGATTCGCGTGCTTGCAGTCGGCCGATGGCGTTGTTGCGTTGGCCTCCCTCAGTCGCTGTATGTTTTCGCTGTTCACTTGCTGTGATTCTGCTGGCATGCAAATGAAAACCAAACGTTTTTATAGCCCATCAAGTGCTGCTGCACGTGCATGACATGTTGGCGTGTTTTGGCGCCAGGCTCTCAAGTAGTTGTTATTTTGTGTGTGTTTTTCCATCTTTTCACCAAAGTTCTGCTGTACAATGTACTTCATTTCTTCCACACAAATAAATCCCAATCCATGCAGAAATGACGAATTCGTTGTTGGTATTAATTTTGTATAGATATCAGCAACACAGATATTTACGATTTTACAACTTTTGTGGGTTTTTTAAGAGAGAATATATAGCATGGGTCATTGTGACCCTGTTCTATCAGGATTCACGTGTAGGTTCAGATCAAGTCGGGAGGGGACTAAACTTCATCATGAACAACACACTGGGTGTCTAACTGGTATCAACAGCGTTAATTTTAAAACAGCGTCTGTGGTAAGGGATGCAATATCTGTAACTCCACTCCAGCCTTGTATGTGGTATTACAACGATCACCCAGAATCTAATCACTGACGTCACTCTGGAGAAACGTCAAGGAGGTGAGATTGTCTCGCGCTTGTGTCCGTGTTGTGCCAGGTGAGCTCGGAGTCCAATATCGAACTGAGGCCGAAAGAGAAGTGTCAGCAGTATACCAAGGCTAGGAAGATATGGTTATATATGAGTGATAGTATCTGTTTCACTTAACTCCTAGTAGACGTATTTTAAGCTTATTATAAACTCAAAGCCTCTACATGAACTTAACAGTAGCTTTTGAGATAGAAAGCTAGGCTCAGAATGATCATACTTCAGGTATTCATTGTAAATACTATATTGTCAAAAGGACGATTCAGAATTAGCTCGTACGTTATATTAATATTATGGCCTACATGCCTCTTCAGTTGACTTATAGATAAAGCTTGGGTCAGCACAATTAAAAATTCTAGGCGCCCGTTATAGTTCACATTAAAACCATTCTGACCTAAACATTCCTGTGGAATGTAAACCTGCAATTAGCTTCGGAGTTCAACACTCGTAATTAAACAACCCATACCAGGGAAATCTCCAAATATTACAAGAACCCCCAAAAAACCTGCTAATCGCAACACGAGCGACTGACAGGATCGGTTGGCCAAGGTCGCTTACTTGGCTGATACATTTCATCGTATTCTTATTGAGTAGATCGATGCTCAATATTTCAATCTCTGGATTGCCTGGACGAGACTCGATGTTGTACAGACCGCCGTCATATTGCTGGAATATTGCCTTGAACAACAGACAGACAAACAAACAACAAACTCTGGCTGGTGAACTTGAGCTGCATTATAGTGATGAGAAGAACGATCTATGCACAGTCTTTTTCTATGCCATTTTGTGATCATCATCATCATCATCATCATCATCATCATCATCATCATCATCACCAGAAGAAGAAGAAGGAGAAGAAGAAGTCAATGCACGCTGTGAGTGTTTTATGCCAGTCCGTAGTGGAAAGATGTGTGATGAGCTGGAGGTGAGATGGGGTTTAACGTCGCGCTCAAGATTATTGCACACAATTAGCGACGTGCGTGCGTGCGTGCGTGCGGACTTATGCCAATTTTATAGTGTTAGCCTACTGAGATATCATGCCGCAGTTTAAAATGAATAACCCACTCAGACATAGTATACTGACTCCGAGCCGGCCAGTCCTTGGTTAAGCCCCTTAATGCCGAGCGCCAGACAGGGTAACAACAAGTACATGTTTTAACGTGGTATGACGAGGTCTACGAGGTCGGGGATCGAATTCTGGACCTTCCGCTCTCCGGGCGGACGCTCAACCAATTCACCATGGAGGTTGTCCGCAGTATAAAGACAGTCACTGGGAGTCAAGTTTAATCCTCATATTACATTTGGGATTTGATACTTTTATAGTTACTGTGTTTTACCAGTTTTTAATTAACCGTTTATACCTATCTGTCCTTATTAGTCTTTAGCACTTATGATATAATGAGGAAGCTTACAAATCGTATAGGAGAGGGGATCCTCCCATACAAATGTGAATATGAGCACAATATAAATAATGATATTGAATTCATTATCAATTGTTCACAAAAAGAAGCATTTGGACTGAGCAACATGTGTGTTTTGTGGCAGGTGGTCAAAGGGAGACAACTTGTGTTAATACACTGAAATATCTACAGCAAATTGACCAAGTTGAAGATACTCACATTGATTTTACACAACACTGATACACAAGATAATTCAAACCACAGATAAACTTGGCAAACTTTGTCTTTACTTAATATTGAATTCAACAGGCAAATGAGTTATTCGATACACGTCAAACGACATGGAAAAACAGTAGCTGTTCAACCGACCGAATCGCAGGTGAAACAGGGCATCTGAAAATAACACACCCATATAATTCCTGGGTGTAATACAATACAATGAGTCCTGTAATCAGTCCAGACAACACTTCAGAGGAATGTCACTATCACACAACACATAATGCAGCGTTATTGAAGTCTCAAAGCCCTGTAAAGAGTCCTGAATTTATTTCACCTTGCTTTGGTGTTGTCGTTTAGTTACAGCTAAACCTTAGGTGGAAGTCGGACTGCAGGTAAAATGGATCTCAATTGCGATTACTATTAAGGTAGGTTTTTTAAAAACATTGTTTAAATGGGTTATATGAGGGGATTTCTACTTCACCCGTTTAATGTTCAACGTTACGTGGAACAAGGTGAGGTGATATAAGCTTTAACATCGTGTCCAAGATTATTGCACTTATATAGCGACGTGCATGGACGTGTGTGTGTGTGTGCGCGTGTGTGTGTGTGTGTGTGCGCGCGCGTGTGTGTGTGTGTGTGTGTGTGTGTGTGTGTGTGTGTGTGTGGCTACTTGTACTTGTCCGGACTGATGCCGATTTATAGTGCTAGCTCACGGAGATTCCATGCCGCAGTTTAACATGATTACCCCACTCAGACACAGTATACTGACTCAGAGCCGACCAGTCCTTGTTTTAGCCCCTTCATGCAAAGCGCCATCTTTTAACGATTGCGACCTTGTCTTTATTATGTTAAAATTGTTATAAAATTGTACAATTGGACTTGAAGCTAAAACCAATGTAGATACGTTGAAACTACATGTAGAAGGAACCAGTTTATTGCGTCGTCTTAATGTTGCGTGATCCCCTACTGTTACTATTGCAAACGTGTGCACGCTTGCCTTTTCACAGCTCACATTGATATCCAGGTCACAGTTGTTTATCCTTCAGCGTGTCAAAGGAAGGATCACGAGTGTTGTCGTTAACTTATTGTTCGGGTTTCGAGAACATCCGGGTTAGTTGGTACAGTGTCACATTCAAATTTGGAAAAAATTGGGTGATTTGTTTCATTTACCTTCCCCATTGTACACGTACCCATATCTAGGTTGTAGGCTCGCCAAGCTGGCTACATGATATGCATGCATTGAATATATACAGCGGTAAGGCGATGCAGTAGGCGAAATGTGAAGGTATTATTCAACGTAAAGTTGCCAGTAGCCTAAATGTTGTGAATTTTGAAAGCGACACATGTAAGTATTTATCAGGTATATAACTGAGAGAAGTGAAAAATGGTTTCAAGAACTTTTAAAAGAAACAGGCACTGATAAATTCAGTCACTTTCAAATTTGGAAATTTATCTTCCCTTCACTAACCCGCTAGATGCGCTGACCCGGACGGTCCAACATTAAACTGGGGGCGCATGTGGTATGCGCAATACGAGCGGTACATGTTACTATGACACCTATAGACGGTTAACCAGTATAGCTTTCACTTCTTTCGGCAATGTTCACGCTGGTGTATGGGCAGTATATCTTTTCGCCTAAACAATGATCTATCTTTTGACATGTCCGGAAATAGATGTTCCATGATTCATTGATACATAAGGATGACCACGGCTGATTATATTGTACAGTTAACCACTTGATAGCCGTTCGAAGCGAGGGGGTGAGATCAGCTGATCTTACATGCCAGGTCGCTTTGTAGACGTTTTGCAATCGGTACTGAAAGTGTTGCCCTTGAAGTTTGAATATCACACTTTTGAAAAGGAAGTAGATTTTCATTGTACACGTACCCATATCTAAGTTGTAGTATCGCCAAGCAGGCTACATCATATGCATGCATATCAGTATGTACAGCGGTGAGGCGATGCAGTAGGCGAAATGTGAAGGTATTATGCAACATAAAGATGCCAGTAGCCTAAATGTTGTGAATTTTGAAAGCGACACATGAAAGTATTTATCAGTTATATAACTGAGAGAAGTGAGAAATGTTTTCAAGAACTTTTAAAAGAAACTAGATATCATGATATAATGTTCAAAATAAAGAAATATTTAAGGGTTAATAAGTGCATATTGTATAAAAAGATTTTATGGATGAAGCGTGCCTGTTTGTTGCCAAATACAACCACGATTATATTTCAACATGATAAATAAAAGATATATTTTTATGGTCTTTTCTAAATTTAAAAAAATAGAAATTTTTTTTTTTTCAGACACAGAAGACACTATATATTAGCTTAAATACATATTCAAGGGTACTTATACCAACTGATTTTTTTCATCTTATTAATTTAAACAATATATTCATACTAATTTTAAATCTCTATAATTATGTTTGTATGAATATTGCAGTGTCTACATCCAGTTTGCCTTGACAATCATCAGATGATTGTAATATAGATAAAGCACATTCTAAATTTTCAATAGGGTTTTGTTTTTTATGTTTTCTTATTCGAGACTGATGTTTCATATTCCCACGTAAACAAATTATTAATATTACCTTTTTTCTCTTTACACTTTTTTTCTTTTTTTTCTTCTCTTTATTGATATCTGCATTGCACAATGACTGTTATTACTTTATTTGCTATCTTTGTATACTTGTGCATGTATGCTAGTATTAGATTACACATGCATGCATGTTTAACAGTCATTATCTGTTGCTATATAATTAAGGAGCATAAAAAGGGCTCAAGTATTCTTTCGTGTTTGAAGAACCTATCAATTCATTGTGGAAACATTTCATTACTTACATAAGTTCATTTGACCTTCGTTATATCAAAATAGATTCAAATAAAAATTAGGAGATAAAATTTAGGAGACTAATTCATTTCAGTCTCATTCATCTGTCTAAATCCAGGCCCATTTTTCAGGCAATATATATATTGCCTGATTATAGACTCTTACTGAAACATATGTAAATATAATCTGTTATATGCGAATACAATTAAATAAATAAATGCATTTATCTACATGAAATGAATGTGGGGCCAATTTGCATTGATGTCATCATCCATTTTTTATCATAAACATTCTAAAATCATATTTGCTATTTTATTATTATATCTAATAAATAGAATATGATAGGTGTCTTGAAGAACTATTGAATAACAATCAGGATTTATAGCCACAGAAGGATAGTGTAGCAATGTGTGGGTTGTAAGGGAAATAATTTGTCAACAAAATAATATATATGATGGTACTAAAACAAGAAGATATTACTATGATTGGCCTACCTTTAGAATACAGTACGACAAACTATTCAAACACGTGACAATATCCTATGACGTAATTTGTAGTATTTTGTTGCCAGTCACACCGTCGAAACAATGCCCTGTGACGTCAGGGGTCACCGTGTGTACATAAGCTCCTCCCAGTGATCTATCATCTCTACACGAAATGTCACTGAACACGCAAAGCGGTGTGGAAAGGTTTGAATATTTGTTTACTAAATATAGCCTGCGGCGGCGCATTTTATAGCAAGCGCTAGTTTACGGACGCACTTTTCTTAAATGTCTTTTTTATTTCGTTTTTCTCGTAATTCAAGAGGCTAAAATGGTTATAAATGGGACTACTGTGCCAAATTGCATCGGTATCATTTGTAAGTGTCCGTAGACCAAAGCCACGAGACACCATGCCTACCTGTAACCTTCCTAAGTGTCCATCACCTATTCGACCCTTTTCGTTTAGTTCCGTAATGTCGTAGGCATGACTAGGTAAATTTGCACAGTATGGACGTAGCTCAGTCGGTTAGCTGTCAGGCTAACAATCCGAAGGCCGCGAGTTCGCGTCCGACGGATTCTCACAAAAACTGGTTGCTTGTCTTTGAGACATGTAACCTACAGCAGAGACCATCCTCACGAGAAGTTGTGGTACTGTATTCCAAAGGTGCTCCACAAGTCTCTGTAATACTACTACTTTCAGAGCATGAGTATCAGAATTCTGTAAGAAATCAATAAATTAACACCTGTCAAGACTCAAAGCACATTTAATGGTGGGACACATTATTATAAGGGGCAGAAAAATATGAGTAATTATTTTATTTTAAAGTATGATGACTGGTATGTATATAACAACTGAGTAACTGATTGTTAAATGCATGGTAGATTTTCATTTGGCATATTTCTAAAACATAATGTAAGAATAAAATAATATAAATCATATGTAAGAGGAAGTTTTGATAAAAAGGTAACATTTAAAATGAGTTGTTTTATTCTGAACGTTATTTCATCTTCAATTATTTGTAAACGCACATATGTAGGCCCGTGCAAGATGTCTGTGTGCTGCAAATGTTAGGCGTATCGCCAATTTTATTACATTGAAGACCATGGTAGCATGAAACTATTTGTGAAGATTTGAATACTTCATTGCGTTGAATTGTCGTTGGAAATAGCTGATAAATAAAATAAGTTTGCATTATTTCATATTGTATTTGAGTCCTTTGTTTATTCGTGAAATATATTGGCTATATAGATAACCAAACAAATTTCTCAAGCTTACATTGTTATTATAACACGCACGTGGGTGTGCTGCTTTTCTGAAAAAAAATTGTTTTGAGTGTTTCCAGGTAGAATGTTGGTGTTTCCTCTGTAAACTTGACTTTAGACATAAACACAAAAAACAAGCAGTATTGTTAAACTGACCCCGTATACATAAGGTAACATCAGACTTGAACACGCATCTTAAAGGGTGAACGCCTGCTGTTCGATCAAACGTCTCGTCTAGTCATTGTCAATAACGTCCCTTACTTTCGTCCTTGACTTTGTACGCGATGTGTTCACATTAAAAAGGGAAAATAGTGGAATATTTTTTTGCACATTATTTCAATTCTAATAGCTATAGTGTGGTTACACTACACTTATTGATTATAACATTTATTGGGTTTTAAAAATGCCTTTGCATGGCACACGAATGCTATTTCTGTTCGGGAAGTCATGGCATCTTTTATCATTAGAACAAAACGTCTACATGTAGGACAAATGTAGAATTATACGGAATGCCACTCAAATAGTTGCGACATAAACAGTGTGACCTGACAATGTGATGATGAATTCCTTGTCACTTCCATGCTGTTCTTATTGTCAGTGGCTGGGAAATCCCCGTGACGTCATGGGGAACACCAATCTCTAACACAAATGAGTTCTCTGTCAGAGTTACGATAGGAATCGTAACCTTGTACGATCTGCGACAGATTTCAGGTAGTTTCGAAAATGTATCTTATCTTAAACTTAAGATATCTTTTCTTTGAATGTAAGTTGTTAAGATTAATCGTAGCTGAGATCGTTTCGAAAATCTAGACCCAGTGTCAGAAACTTTTCAAACACGTCACCATACCCTATGATGTAATTTGTAGTCACACCGACGAAAACAATGCCCGGTGCCCAGTGCCCAGGGGTCATCGAGTGTGCATAAGCTCCTCCCAGTGATCTATCATATCTATACGCAACGTCATTGAATAAGCCAAGCAATGTTGAGAGTTTTTAATGTGTGTTTACTAAATATGGGCTGTGGCAACGCATTTTATAGCAGGCGGTAGTTTACGAAAGCACCTTTATAATCAATACACTTCTTATGTCGTTTTTTTCGTAATTCGAGTGGCTAAAATGATTATGAATGGGAACTTATATACATAAATATGTTTTTCGATTCATTAATTTTCATTATTATGCACAGGAATTCAGTATATATAATTAGGTCTATTATTTTGATGCTGAACACACTTAACGGTCGCTGGTTTTGGGGTAGGTTAACCCGAACCCTAGCCCTAGCCCTTGGATCCACTTTACGATCATCACCCCTTTACGATCATTGGGGTTAGGTTCCCGTTTAGTGGCTATTAGATTACCCAAACTCATGTCTTAGCCCTTGGAGCCCATTTACAATCAATCAACCATAGCTCTACGATCATAAGGTTTAGTTACCCGTTATTGTAGATTATATAGTGGTTCCTCATAGTCTTCACACACACACGTAGAGAAAGCAGGATGAAATGGTTTTGTGTCTTATATTTTGGCTACTGGAAAATGTTCTGACACATTCACAGAAGCCACTTTCACCCGCTCCATTTATTCAGTACTGATTCAAAAGCTCACTCACCCTTGTGTCGTCACTAGCCATGCTTATGCCTCCCCCGTTCCTTACTATTATCCAAATTGTCCTTACAGTGTTCCCTACCACACTTTTTCTGTCACACAAATCACACCACGAATTATTAAATACCATGTTACTCTTGCCTACCCGCGAGTTCGACGTCTAACGCCTGAAAGCCTGGAGCCGTTTTCAGGTCGCGCCATTTCGGCTCATTACTCACCACTCGGTTTATTGTCGATTACGGAATAGGACGAGTGCGCCAAATCGCATCGGGATCACTCGGAAATGTCTGTTGACTAAAGTCACGAGACACGCTCGCTACATTTACATTTACATCTGGAGACATCCCAGTACAGGTCTCGCCAGAACAACTTTTCGCGAACTTGATTAAAAATTTGAAAATTGAACAAAACAAGATTCTGCAACAACTAATAGATGGCTGAGATTGTATGGCAGTACCTCCACGGGTTATGGAAAGTCTCTTCCGTTTCAAATGTTTATCCCATTGAAGCAAGAGATAGAAGATGATTTTGACGGAATCAGTAGTACAGCAAGCATCTGTTGCTTGGAAGACCCTGTCTTAACCTTTTCGAGTTTGCATGATTAGAAAACAATTTCCTTATCTGGTAAGCAACGCTCTTATTGGTCGGATGAAAAGTCGTTCTGACGTGACCCGTAATTGGATGTCCTCAGATTTGATTTTAATGAGATTGTAGTTGCGTGCGCTGACAAAGAGGGTAAAACAACCACCTAACACTGTTCGGAAAGTATGGCTATGTACAAATACACCTACTGTAGTGTCACTTGCATGTATGTATATTTAAGGTTCAGTTTGTCCACAGATTCCTGATTCTTAAATCAAGCGCTTCAAAAATGAGTTCATCAAGTGAGAGTAGCGTGGACGATGGCGATGATGATTCCAGCATCCACTCAGGAAGTACTGGTACCAATGATGAGGAATCTGTGTTTGTCAGCAATGAATTCAACCCTAACGTAGATGTTCTGTCCACAAGGTGCACTGAAGATGAAGGGAAGCAGAACACGATGAGTATACAGGATACAGAAGGATTATTTTGCATCACTGAAGCCAGCACAAACACTGGCCCTAACACTGAAGACCCAATTGTACTGCTTTCAGAAGATGAAAGCGAAAACGAATATGACAGTGGACCCTTGAGTGACCTAATTAAAAACAGACAAAGAGGTCAGAAAAAGTCACTGGAACTTGTAGAGCTTACACAAGGTGAGTGTCGATATGTGTCTTCAGTTTGAAAGACTTCCTTAAATCAATATTTAGGACTAATTAAATAAGCAGCCTAATGCTATTTGTTTGTTTGTTGTTTAACACCAACTCAGCAATATTCCAGCTATATGATGGCGGCCTGTAAATAATCGAGTCTGGACCAGACAATCCAGTGATTGACATCATGAGTATCGATCCACGCAATTGAGATCGATGACATGCATCAAACAAGTCAGCAAGCCTGACCACCATGCAAATGGCAAACCTGCACTGTGTTTTTGAAACCATGCCTAGCTCTCACATCCTATGAATATCCTATCATATACATATTGCTTTTAGCCCTGGGGCATATTTTGGTCAAGTCAAAGGTCGAGGTCATCCTCCAGGTCATAGTCGGCAGGAAAGTTCCTTTAAATGGTATCTTGTGATATATTTACTGTATGTCAATCAAACTTGGTACATGAAAGTAGATGCTACAAAAGCCTTTCCATATTCATTAGACATGTTTGCCAAAAGCAGAGCCGACTGTAGGTCTTCCTTCGCGGGTGGATTGTAGTGTAGTTCTGCTTCTTTGTGTACTGCACCAATCCTCTTCCTATGATATGTCTGTAAGAGAAATAAAAACGGAAAGTGATTATCATTTTCATTTTAACGTACCTATTAGCAAAAGTATTTTCTGTATCAAAGCTGCACTGCATTTGACATCTTTTTGCTCAAAACTGAAATAAATTCCTTCAACCGGAAATGTTTATTACGTTGGTTAGTCAGCTGTTCACCATCAAACATATGGTACAAATCAATATAGGGAATTGCATCATTTTTGTCATTTATGTGTCAAATTTGGAAATGTCTTCTACATGTCCACCATAAAGTATTTTGAAAGCTTTACTGAGGCCTTTACTACTGATGTATTGGCATGTAATGCAATCCTGTGTCTAGTTTAACATAATATACCCACTTATATTACAGAGGGGACACAACTTTTGGCCACTGCAACAACAGAATTATATAACAGAAAGAGGGCCCAAGCTCCGACGAACAGACACCCAACATCAATAGGTATTGTAAAGTTTATTTCCACATACGTCCACAACTTGACTATTTCAAACCAAGCAGCTATTTTACACAATTATTAATACGTCCACGGAGTAAAGTTAGGAAAAAAATATCAATTCTGAAAATTAGAGAAATAGAGACGTATTTATTACATGTACAGGGTTTCAGGTCGTTTCAGGTAACTGATTGTTGTCTCAAAAAATGATATTAAATGATATACTCGAAAGATGATATTCAAATATGGTATTGATATGCAAGAATGAAAAACAATCATTACACACTACCCTAAAGGTTCCTAAAGGTTGTCTTTTGGATTTAACACTCAATGTAACTGATCAGTTGACTGGGTGCGTTTTAGGTGCGACGAGGATCAGCACCACACATATCTACATTACTATCATTTACCGATTTAAAATAAAAAATGCAGCAAAGAGGATTTGGGTGATCCTGGCAGTCAGGCTATCTAGGCTCATCATCAGCTCAGGGCCCTTGCCCCCTCTACACGTAGCGACTGGGACTTCTCCCAGGAAGCACTGCCAAGTCAAACCCACCCTGAACTTTTTGGAGAATGTGACAACTCCCCAACACTGCAGCCTTCTGCGTTATCCAGATTGTCAGTAGGGCTATATTCCTGGTAGAAAACAAGGGTACACTCCCAATGTCAGTCAACAGATTGGGCGGGTACCAAACCTAATGCACCGAGAACAATGGGGAGTATCTTTAACTTGGTACTTGGAATGCAAGTGTGACATTTCAAAAGCGAGGTCCGCATATTTGCCATGTCTTTCCTGAATCGTGTCAATCACATTCGTGTCCAAAAGGACAGAAAATTCAATGATATAAATGATTTCATTGGATTTATCAAAAAGGACACGATCAGGTTTGTTGGCCTGGATACGCCTGAAGCTGTAAACGGGCCTATTCCAAAAGAATTTGTATTTATCATATTCCATGACACCCTCTCCATATTCTGGGTCGTACCATTGATGGACCTCTAAACCACAAGCATGGCGAGAACGGCAATTAAAGGATCCAGCTACACCATCATGTCTCTTAAGATGCTGTTTGTGCCAAAGCTGGGAATCCACTGACAATGTGTTGGAGAGTTCATATTTTAAACGAGTTCTGATGGTCGATCCATGATGCCCTTTGTGGAAGTGACCATTTTCCAACATTACTTACAACTAGCAATCTCTCTTACGAACCACCTTCAACAAGGCCAGTTGGTATTTATTCCAAACATTATGTACAGAAAACTGACACCTGACAGTGTCAGGCATGTTGGAGAAGAACTCATTCATAAGTCCTCTGCAAACCCTCATATACGTAAACCATGGTTTAATAATAATTTTTAAACAAGCTAGGAAAAATAAGAAGAAAGGTGAGAAATATTTTCGCCGATACCCCACTGTCAACAACCTGATTAATGTTAAAATCACGAGCGTCAAAGTGAGGTGTACCTTTAAACAAATTATAAGTCATTCTGGAGAAACTGTGTCTAAACTCAATTCCTGCACTCCCATGTCCAAGGTGTGGAACATGAGTGAAAAGATTAAAGGCAAAGGATCAAAGTCTGGAGTTCACCATCTAAAGGATGGTAATACACTGTTAACAACTAAATCTGACATTGCCAACAAACTTTGGCAAACCATTCCTCATCATTCAACTATAACCCTCAATTTCAGAGGTTTCAAAAACAACATGAAAAAAAATGTCAATTTTAACTCTTATATTGGTGAGGACTACAACGAAATATTTGCACTCCATGCATACTGGCCAAGGGCAAGTTCATGACAGTGCAGCAGAAGCCGACAACATTCATTATCAGCTCCTGAAACACATGCCTGATTCATGTTTGGAAATACTGCTAAATATATTTGATGACATTTGGACAGCTGGAAATTTCCCTCCTTCGTGGCACAACGTTATTGTCATTTTATACCAAAGAATGGACGGTATCATACAGATCCAATTACAGTCCAATATCATTAACTAGCTGTGTTTATAAGTTCATGGAGCGCTTGGTCAACAGTTTATTAGTCTGGTACTTGGAGACCAAAAACCTCCTGAGTGACATCCAGTGTGGTTTCCGTAAAACACAAGTGCCATTAACCATTTGGTGCGTTTAGAATCATTTATTACATATTCTATTGTCAACAACATACAACACTGGCAGACGGTGAAGCCAGATGCAGACCTCACTCTAACCAAGCTCAAAAAATCTTAAATAAATCATTTTGTTTATCAACAAGCATAATTCTCACAGAATCATTTTTACAGATCGGTCCAAGGATGGTGGTGAGGTTGCAAGTGCCATCATCATTGGATCAAGAACTATCCCAACAGCTTTGACCTATATTCATCATCTTCTCTCATTCATTCTCATGCCTTTAGGCACTTAGAAGTGTCTCCTCAAATCATCCCATGATCCTTGGCATTTTAGAACGTTTCAATAATCTTTCTACTGGCCAGTGTGACATTGTCTTTTGCTGGTTACCAAGTCATGTAGGCATAGCTGGTAACTCAAAAGCAGCTCTGGACAAAAAACAGCTATACTCGGGATCTAATGCAAAAAAGGTGGGACACCCAAGTAGGAATCAATACACTTCATGGATTTAAACCAACAATCGGTCATACCTAGTTGGGTTGTCAGTCAAGACATGATGATGTCGTTTAACGAAGTTGTCTATTGGCCATGGTTGGTTTACCCACGAATAAACAGACGATTACGAACCTCCTGTGTGGATCCCTTGTGACGAAAGGTTCACCGTTAAGCATAAATTGTTTGACTGTGTAAACTTTGCAATTGCAATGGGATTCACATTATCAAACAGTAGATCTGAAAGATCTCTTTTCCTGTGTAAGCGGGCATCTCATTCTCAGCTACTTGAAAGAAATTGGTCTGTAAAATACATTTAAGTATGTATGTGAGTAATGAATTGCTTGTTTTTAAACTCGGTGTGATGATTTTACCAACTGACATTATTAAAGGCTCTATCCAGGTTTTAAAGTACAATAAAATGATTGTCCCCCTGTGTGGCACGTAATCCTTTCATAATCGATGAAACTATCATCAACCAGTATTTTAAGCCAACTCAACTGAGTATTTTTAGATATTGGCTAGTATTGAACACAAACACCGATAGCTGAAGTGATGAGGTAAATCCTGCTGGGATGTCTTGCAGGAAGAAGAGGCACCGTAAGTCCCCATGATCCCCAGCAAGGTGGCCTAGCTTTGGTTACTGGTGGCCTATAGTCCGTGTTTTAAACTGTATACATAATTTCTTTATGCCCAAATGTGTTTGATAAAAAATATATAATTTTGCACACATGACTCACTTGTTATTTAATGAACACATTGAACACTTTTGTCAAATATCACCAGAATGTATAAGGTGAACAAATTGCAGGGTAAATATATCGTTGTGTTCTTCCCATAAGTACTTTCCTAAGGTCATAACTAATCAATACTCTTCACAGTAATAAACAACCCACGCCTGTATCTGACAAAGAAGACCGAGTTGAATGCTCCGAAAGCTCGCAATGTGGCAATGGGAGGACAACAGGTGGTTCATCAACCACAAGGCCCCCGCTCTGAAGACCACACAGAGAAAACCAGTAAGTGATATATAAATCAACACTCATTGTAACATGGATGTCCATGAACGATATCTCCTTACGTGTGTGTATATTTCCACTACCGTGCGTTTGGCTCCAAATGAGAACGATGAATTGCAAAAAAACTCAAATTCGGGAATAATTTATTAAATGCCAATACGGTACACGGCAATGAATACCCTGTACCCATTAATAACTGCAGTTTGTTATTTTCAGTCGATTCACTGGAATAGGTTGTTTAAGAAACTATCATGTTGTTATGTTTTCAAGTTGACATCTTGGGGGGGCACAACGGTAGAAGGAACAGCACAAATACGTGCTTCATTGTATATGTCATTGTTGACTGACAAGATGCGCTACTCAGCTATGTGTTTTTTTAAGGTGTATGGTTCACTTTCGAAGTGAAGCAGGAAGGGAAAACCATTTTATGCCATTAATTAATACTTAGAAAAGCTTCTAAAGCTCTTGGTATGTCTCCTAACAAGCTGAAAAATGTTGACTCCAGCAACCGGTGTAGTGGGTGGGGAACATCAAAACTATGTAGGGTTGTTAAATTAGACAGTTTTCAAATCAGTCGTGAAATTGTTAAACTTCTTTAACAAAATAGGTACATGTCACTGAGACTTTAAGAAATCCCTTGAAACTGAACATGATTTATTTCTTACAAAATAGAAGCTATGGCAATTTTTGCATACATTTGGATACAGATACAAAAGGATCAGTGGTGAAAAAGCGCTCGGTTCAAAATTATAATTAAGAGGTATCTTTTCTACAGAGGGACTACATCAAATTTCAAAACACAGTAGGTTTATCTCCTAAATGAGCGGCTAGGTATTTCTGGAGTGGGTGAAAAACAAATCGGTCCCTGCTTTGCCTGCCAAGTCCCTTATTATCATGGACAATGCACCATATCACAGTATACAATAACAGGATGCAGACAGCAAGTCCCCGACGTCTAATAACCTTAAACGGAGACATTGTGATGTGGCTGCAATATGACCTTTCCTTCCAGGGCTACAAAACCACAGATCTCTGAAATCATCAAATCTGACAAACCTAAGCCCATGTATAGGGTTTGCTGTTACATAAAAGGTCAAAGTCCCCCCTTACCTCTGCGACCTGAACTCAATAGAGTTGATATGGGATGTCGTCAAAGGTCACGTTGCCCGATTGAACACAACGTTTAAATTGCGGGATGTTGAAAAGCTAGTACATTAATCTCTTGGTCAGGTAACAGTGGACACATGGCAGCGTTGGGTTACCAAAGTCGTCAATAGGATAGAGTCAAGATACTGGCCACGTGATGGACTTCAGCAAGCAACAGTCCCATGAGCGAGTCAGATTGCGTTTTAATTACCGCGAGACGACCTCTCTTATACTGTTATTCCCTGTACCTTTCTGTACTGCCTGCAGAACGTGTTTGCGCTGTTCCTCCATCCGTTTAACCTGACCCGTGAAGATCCGGGGTAGAATAGGTCTTTAGCAACCCATGCTTGCCGTAAAAGGCGACTTTGCTAACGGGATTGGGTGGTCAGGCTCGCTGACTTGGTTGAAGCATGTCATCGATCCCAAGTGCGTGGATCTATGCTCATGATATCAATGACTTGATTGTCTGGTCCAGATTCGATTATTTACAGAACGCCGCCATATAGCTGGAATATTGCTGGTGCGGCGTAAAACAACAAACCAACCAACCGTTTAACCCCTCCCCCCTCCGTGAAAGCTGTCACATTTTACACATAACAACATGATAGTTTCTTCAACAACTTTTTCCAGTTATGGGAATAAAAATAACAAACAGCAGATATTTTTGTGTACAGAATAATTCATTGCCGTGTACCGTATGGACATTTAATATACCATTTCCGATTTTGAGTTATTTTGCATTTCATCGAATGTCATTTGGAGCCAAACGGACTGCAATGTTTTCTGCCACATTCCTTTGGTTCACACAAAGGATTGGGATGTACTGGTTGTTAGTCACTGCACTAAATACAACGAAACAATTTGGGGTTCATAGATGACTCAGTCGTCTAAGGCTCTGAAATTTGCTGTGTGGTTTTGCATCTTCAATACGTGGCCTGAACCTAAAGTTGTAGGTTCGAACCCAAGGTGCGCACTGATTATTATTCCTGGTCACCGCAATAACCATGCCCATACGTTTCGCTATAGCGCTAAAGACCTGCACCACTTCTGACTTTCATCCTACATTAAGTTACCACACCGTGATATGAATTAAATACTGTTAAAATATGCCTCTAACCCAAATCAAACCTGTCATTATCTATCCAAGAATGCTCATCACTACCTCAGTTTGTTTAAAGGATGAATCGGAACGTGACATATTTTCACATTTTAGTACTACTTAATATGCCCTCCTCAAGATTCCCTAAGAAATGTTACAATATGATGTGTTTGTATGATAACAATGGCAAAACAAATTGGGTAACCGACTTAAGGAATCTGCTGAATAGTTGTGGTTTTGGTTACATTTTAAAATTAATAAATTGCTTATCCGAAGTTGTTCATAAATGCTATAACACAAAGATTAAAAGATTTATATTTTCAGTCATGGAATGCAACTCTAACGCATTCACCAAAGTCCCTGTTATATAGCAGTTTCAAGTCATATATCATTGTAGAGCAATACCTTTTCAGTGTTAGTCTTAGAAAATTTAAGGTAGCACTTGCAAGATTCCAATGATCATCACACGGTCTTTTAATTGAAAAAGGTAGATATCAAAATATTCCGAGAGACAATAGACTCTGTCCACTATGTGACCTAGGATTAATTGAGGACGAGTATCGCTTTTTACTAGTATGTCCGCATTTTGATGAACTAAGAAAAGTTTATTTACCAAAATATTTTCATATAAACCATTGTACATTTAAGTTTAAACTAGTACTGACCACTAGCAACATTGAAACCATAAGAAATCTTACTATGTACATATATCATGCTTTTATACAAAGAAAATCAAGTTTGGAAATTATATGATTGTACCAATTGCTCCTGTAATCATGATTGTACTATAGGCCTGTGGCCTCCTCAGTACGTTGAATAAAGAAATTGAAGACATCCCTAAATTCGCTGTGGTGTGTTATTGAAGGTTTTCACAAAAACTGGTGCTCAAGGCAAATGTCTGACACATAATGCTATGCTGTCAAACGTATTGAAAACATAATTTAACCCACATAATCTATAAAACTGAAGATTAACAGGATAAAAACTCCCCAAAGTATATTCAATTTGTTTTGGTTTGTTTTCTTCTTCAGAAACCCCGAGAGACCCGAGAGTACATCACATTAGAGGTACGCAACATTACAAAACCTTGTCTCGCTGATTGTCATGGCTGTACTCAGACATACAATACATAGGAATTCTGGAATGACCACTATAACCTGATGGTGATGAGCAAAGGATAAAAGTATAATATAATAAAGACATTGCATGTCAATTTCTGTCAGTATGAGTACTTAATTTATCTATTTTATTTTGACGTCATATATTTACTTGAACTAAGTCGATGTATCTGCTGGACCAATTCCCGAGTTTCATCATAAGCTCAGTAGCAAATATCTATGCTGAGTGAACTCCAAAAGTTTGAGACTTTAAATCCGCGCTCCAATGTGTTGCAAACCAAATAGTTTTCTTAAACGTTTTTCCTTACTTATAAGCAGCAGACTACCTGCATTTGAACATAGCAAACGTAATATAAAGTTAACATATCATGTCAGTGAGGTACATGCCTTGCCTCGCGAGTATTTTGACAAGCTGAATCGTTAACTATAAGCTGCCATCCACCATCAGAGTGTTTCAATAACAAGGTTCTTTCTTGTTCAGCAGTCAATTTGCCATTGTAAGATGACTCAGGAAACTGAAAAATATTCTACTTATGCAGTCTTGTCTTGAAACTAGTTAGTTGTCCAACTTAAAAAGGATGATAAATAACGAAGGAGGCAGTTGGGACAGAATAAAAGAATCAATGTATCCAGATTGCTATATCTACAGTTATTCCACTTAACGGTAGTGAACTGTATATACTGATACTGGTCCAAATTATCTTTTAAATAGAACAGACAAAAAAAGAGATCAAGATATGGACAGAGGCTCGGTTTAAGATGTCATTTGTTGGCGACATTGTGAAGAAGATTGAATCAGGACAGCACTGGATTACAATCACTGGTAACGCTGGTGATGGGAAGACAACGACAGCCTACATGGTGTTGGAGGAGATGATGAAGCAAGGCAGAGAGGTGTTTTACGTGAAGGAGCCTGAGCAGTATTACATCCTGACAGAAAATACCAACCAAAGAGTCAAATTTGTTGTCATGATGAATGATGTCATAGGTGCGTTTGCCTTGGACAAACTAGCTTTCAGCAAATGGAAACCTGTCATCTTTGATGCCCTTGAAAATATCAGAAAAACTAACAAGTCTGAATTCGCAAGCACTCTGACCATTATCTTTGTCCTAAGGGCAAACGTTCTCTGTGAAGCACGTGGCAGTTTTGACAAGCACACTCCTGATATTGTAGGCAAGGAAGCTCTTACATCTCTTGCTTCACTTCCTGAAACAGAGCGCATGGAAATTCTCCAGTATCACCTGACACTTGCAGGTATTGTTGACATACCAGAGAGCAGGAAGAAACAGGTAGTTTGTACTAAGACACCACATGGATTTCCACATTGTTGTCAAATGTTTACAGAATTAAAAGCTCAAGGAAAACAAGTAGACATTGAAAAATTCTTTTCCTGTCCTCTTGAGTGTCTTGAAAGCGTCATCAACACACATCTTCAGAATGAGGAAACAAAGGAAGTGTTTAAGATGCTGATGAAAAAGGATGGAAAGCTTGACCTGAATGAAATAGACGATGACGAAGAAAGGAACCGTCTCCAGTCAGTGTCATCTCCTTTGTTCGGAAGCTACCTGTCAGACAACAATGGCATGATAACGTTCTCACATTCCTCAATCCATGAAAGTGTAGCACATTGCATTGGACAATTAGACGTAGTATTTGCAATCAAACATTTCAGTTTCTCTTACATAATGCAGAGCATAAAATTTATGGAGACCCAATGCATTTCGCGGAATGTCATCAATGTTCCTCCAACCAGGATTAATATTAAAACATTTTGTGAAAGACTTACGCAGGCTGTGGCCGACGGATTGTTTTCTGTCCTTGAACACAGTTTCTTTCAAAAGGAAGATTTGTGTAGGGATTTCTTTTCATCTTTGATCAGGACCAATAATCTGAACTATGAGGTAAGTAAGAAAAAAGGTCATGAAATATAGAATTAACATTTTGTAAAGACAATGTGTGTCCATTGCATTCAAAGGAATACTGCTTGAACAGAGTCCCTATCAAAACCAAAACTCACTCACTCCCAAATACGTTTCACACTTTCCTCATCTTGCGTCAGATGAGAGAGGTACGCACTTGTCCGCTTATATAGCCAAACTAGCTTCCGGAACATATCATAACATCCTTGATTAGTCTAACGGTACTAGAACATTACAGAAGATTATAGATTACACTTGTCCACACAAGCATCTAAATATGACCAATGCTTACATTAAACAGTATGACATTTCTGACAACTAATGTTCTCAAAACACAATGATGTGACCTGCTACTGAATCTCAGCAGAAACAATGCAGTACAATTGCAACACTTTTTAACAATAAATTACACTGCCATATAACAATGTATCTAAGAATTCTTGTTACGAATATATATTTTTCAGAATGATAAACTGGTGGCCCTTGACAACAAAGACAGTAATGGAGACACCATGTTGCATGTTTTGTCAAGATGTAAAAATACGACAGCTATCCAAGTTCTTCTGGAGTGCGGCGCAGATGTGAACAAGGGGAATATGCGGGGGAAAACAGCCTTCCATGAGTTGTGTGAAGGCGAAGGTGTCGATGCAAGTGCTCTAAAGCTGATGCTCAAACACGGGGCGGATGTCAACATAGTGAGTGGGGATGGCGGAACAGCTCTCCACTGTCTGTGTACTGCGAGTACTGTCGATGTTGCAAATGTGGAACTGTTGATCAAGAACAACATTGATCTGAATTGGGCTGACGGGGTGGGATATACAGCTCTTCACTATTTGTGTGCACGTAAGGATGTAGATACATCTGTCTTTGACCTAATCATTAAACATGGCGCTGCTGTCAACATGTTCGGTGAAAATGGCAAGTCAGCACTTCATGTCTTGTGTAAAGGAGGGGATACTAACGTAAGAAATGTGGCCCTACTGATCCAACATGGTGCTGATGTCAACACGACTGACATGGAGGGATTTACAGCACTTTACCATCTGAGTGCTAGGGATGATGTCAATGAAAGCTCTTTCAAACTATTGTTACAAAAGGGTGCTGATGTCAACAAGGCTGGCGTGCAGGGTTTGACAGCACTTCACCTACTGTGTGGTAGGGATGATGTCAATCACCTCGCTGTGAACTTGTTGTTACAAAACGGTGCTGATGTTAACAGGGCTGCCTTGGAGGGTTTTGAGGGCGTGACAGCACTTCACTGTCTCTGTGTTTGGGACAATGTCAATGAAAGCGCTATCAAACTGTTGTTACAAAACGGTGCTGATGTCAACAAGGCTGACGTGAAAGGTGGGACAGCACTTCACCATTTGTGTGCGAGGGATGCTGTCAATGAAAGCGCTGTCAGATTGTTGTTACAAAACGGAGCTGAAGTCAAAAAGGCTGACGTGGAGGGCGTGACAGCACTTCACCATCTGTGTGATAGGGATGATGTCAATGAAAGCGCTATCAAACTAGTGTTACAAAACGGAGCTGATGTCAACAAGGCTGACATGGAGGGCTTTACAGCACTTCACTGTTTGTGTGATAGGGATTATGTCACTGAGAACGCTGTCAAACTGTTGTTACAAAACGGAGCTGATGTCAACGAGGCTGACGTGAAAGGTAGGACAGCACTTCACTATCTGTGTCCTAGGGATGATGTCAATGAAAGCGCTATCAAACTGTTGTTACAAAACGGAGCGGATGTCAACGAGGCTGACGTGAAAGGTAGGACAGCACTTCACCATTTGTGTGGTAAGGATAATGTAACTGAAAGCGCTTTCAAACTGTTGTTACAAAACGGAGCGGATGTCAATAAGGCTGGCGTGAAAGGTAGGACAGCACTTCATCATCTGTGTGGTAAGGATGATGTAAATGAAAGCGCTATCAAACTGTTGTTTCAAAACGGAGCTGATGTCAACAAGGCTGCCCTGAAAGGCAGGACAGCACTTCACTGTCTGTGTGTTAGGAATGATGTCAATGAAAGCGCTATCAAACTGTTGTTACAAAACGGAGCTGATGTCAACAAGGCTGACATGGAGGGCGTGACAGCACTTCACTATCTGTGTGGTAGGAATGATGTCAATGAAAGCTCTATCAAACTGTTGTTACAAAAAGGAGCTGATGTCAACAAGGCTGGCGTGCAGGGTTTGACAGCACTTCACCTACTGTGTGGTAGGGATGATGTCAATCACCTCGCTGTGAACTTGTTGTTACAAAACGGTGCTGATGTTAACAGGGCTGCCTTGGAGGGTTTTGAGGGCGTGACAGCACTTCACTGTCTCTGTGTTTGGGACAATGTCAATGAAAGCGCTATCAAACTGTTGTTACAAAACGGTGCTGATGTCAACAAGGCTGACGTGAAAGGTGGGACAGCACTTCACCATTTGTGTGCGAGGGATACTGTCAATGAAAGCGCTGTCATATTGTTCTTACAAAACGGAGCTGAAGTCAAAAAGGCTGACGTGGAGGGCGTGACAGCACTTCACCATCTGTGTGATAGGGATGATGTCAATGAAAGCGCTATCAAACTAGTGTTACAAAACGGAGCTGATGTCAACAAGGCTGACATGGGGGGCTTTACAGCACTTCACTGTTTGTGTGATAGGGATTATGTCACTGAAAGCGCTGTCAAACTGTTGTTACAAAACGGAGCTGATGTCAACGAGGCTGACGTGAAAGGTAGGACAGCACTTCATCATCTGTGTGGTAAGGATGATGTAAATGAAAGCGCTGTCAAACTGTTGTTTCAAAACGGAGCTGATGTCAACAAGGCTGCCGTGAAAGGCAGGACAGCACTTCACTGTCTGTGTGTCAGGAATGATGTCAATGAAAGCGCTGTCAAACTGTTGTTACAAAACGGAGCTGATGTCAACAAGGCTGACATGGAGGGCATGACAGCACTTCACTATCTGTATGGTAGGAATGATGTCAATGAAAGCGCTATCGAACTGTTGTTACAAAAAGGAGCTGATGTCAACAAGGCTGGCGTGGAGGGCGTGACAGCGCTTCACTATCTGTGTGTTAGGGATGATGTCGATGAAAGCACTATCCAACTGTTGTTACAAAAGGGAGCGGATGTCAACAAGGCTGCCGCGGAGGGCTTTACAGCACTTCACTGTCTGTGTGTTAGGGATGATGTCAATGAAAGCATTATCCAACTGTTGTTACAAAAGGGAGCGGATGTCAACAATGCTGCCGTGGAGGGCGTGACAGCACTTCACTATCTGTGTGTTAGGGATGATGTCAATGAAAGCACTATCCAACTGTTGTTACAAAAGGGAGCGGATGTCAACAAGGCTGCCGTGGAGGGCGTGACAGCACTTCACTGTCTGTGTGATAGGGATGATGTCAATGAAAGCGCTGTCGAACTGTTGATACAAAACGGAGCGGATGTCAACAAGGTTGCCGTGGAGGGCTTTACAGCACTTCGCTGTCTTTGTGAAAGATATCATGTCAATGAAAGCGCTGTCAAACTGTTGTTACAAAACGGAGCTGATGTCAACAAGGCTGACACGGAGGGCTTTACAGCACTTTACCCCCTCTCTGCTAGGGATCATGTCAATGAAAGCATTATCAAACTGTTGTTACAAAACGGAGCGGATGTCAACAAGGCTGGTGTGAAGGGCGGGACAGCACTTCACTATCTGTGTTCTAGGAATGATGTCAATGAAAGCGCTGTCAATCTGTTGTTACAAAACGGAGCTGATGTCAACAAGGCTGACATGCAGGGCTTTACAACACTTTACCATCTTTGTGCTAGGGATCATGTCAATGAAAGCACTATCAAACTGCTTTTACAAAACGGAGCGGATGTCAACAAGGCTGGCGTGAAGGGCTTTACAGCACTTCACATTCTGTGTGATGGGAATGATGTCAAAGAAAGGGCTGTCAAACTGTTGTTACAAAACGGAGCTGATGGCAACAAGGCTGACATGGAGGGCTTTACAACGCTTTACCATCTGTGTGATAGGGATGATGTCAATGAAAGCGCTGTCAAAATGTTGTTACAAAACGGAGCGGATGTAAACAAGACTACCGTGGAGGGCTTTACAGCACTTTACCATCTGTGTGCCAGGGATCATGTTAATGAAAGCACTATCAAACTGTTGTTACAAAACGGAGCGGATGTCAACAAGGCTGGTGTGAAGGGCTTTACAGCACTTCAATGTCTGTGTGCTAAGGATGATGTCAGCGAAAGCGCTGTCAAACTGTTGTTACAAAACGGAGCGGATGTCAACAAGTCTGACATGGAGGGCTTTACAGCACTTCACCATCTGGGTGCTAGGGATGAAGTCAATGAAAGCGTTGTCAAACTGTTGTTACAAAACGGAGCGGATGTCAACAAAACTGACGTGGAGGGCTTTACAGCACTTCACTATCTGTGTGCTAGGGATGATGTTAATGAAAGCGCTATCAAGCTGTTGTTACAAAAGGGAGCTGATGTCAACAAGGCTGACATGGAGGGCTTTACAACACTTTACCATCTGTGTGCTAGGGATGATGTCAATGAAAGCGTTATCAAACTGTTGTTACAAAACGGAGCTGATATGATCAAGACTGACGTGGAGGGCGTGACAGCACTTCACTATCTGTGTGCTAGGGATGATATCAATGAAAGCGCTGTAAAACTGTTGTTAAAAAACGGAGCGGATGTCAACAAGGCTGGCGTGGAGGGCGTGACATCACTTCACTATCTGTGTGCTAGGGATGATGTTAATGAAAGCGCTATCAAACTGTTGTTACAAAAGGGAGCTGATGTCAACAAGGCTGACGTGGAGGGCTTTACAGCACTTTACCATCTGTGTGCCAGGGATCATGTTAATGAAAGCACTATCAAACTGTTGTTACAAAACGGAGCGGATGTCAACAAGGCTGGCGTGAAGGGCTTTACAGCACTTCAATGTCTGTGTGCTAAGGATGATGTCAGTGAAAGCGCTGTCAAACTGTTGTTACAAAACGGAGCGGATGTCAACAAGGCTACCGTGGAGGGCTTTGCAGATCTTCACTGTCTGTGTGATAGGGATGATGTGAATGAAAGTGCTGTCAAAATGTTGTTACAAAACGGAGCGGATGTCAACAAGGCTGACGTGGAGGGCTTTACAGCACTTTACCATCTGTGTGCCAGGGATCATGTCAATGAAAGCACTATCAAACTGGTATTACAAAACGGAGCGGATGTCAACAAGGCTGACGAGAAGGACTTTACAGCCCTTCACTGTCTTTGTGTTAGGAATGATGTCAATGAAAGCGCTGTCGAACTGTTGTTAAACTACGGAGCTGATGTGAACAAGGCTGGCGTGGAGGGCGTAACTGCACTTCACTATCTGTGTGCTAGGGATGATGTCAATGAAAACGCTATCAAACTGTTGTTACAAAAGGGAGCTGATGTCAACAAGGCTGACGTGGAGGGCGTGACAGCAATTCGTTATCTGTGTGCTAGGGATGATGTCAATGAGAGCACTATCAAACTGTTGTTACAAAACGGAGCGGATGTCAACAAGGCTGGTGTGAAGGGCGGGACAGCACTTCACTATCTGTGTTCTAGGAATGATGTCAATGAAAGCGCTGTCAATCTGTTGTTACAAAGCGGAGCTGATGTCAACAAGGCTGACAAGGAGGGCTTTACAGCATTTCACTGTTTGTGTGATCGGGCTGATATAACTGAAAGCGCTGTCAAACTGTTGTTACAAAACGGAGCTGATGTCAACAAGGCTGACATGGAGGGCTTTACAACACTTTACCATCTTTGTGCTAGGGATCATGTCAATGAAAGCACTATCAAACTGGTTTTACAAAACGGAGCGGATGTCAACAAGGCTGGCGTGAAGGGCTTTACAGCACTTCACATTCTGTGTGATGGGAATGATGTCAAAGAAAGGGCTGTCAAACTGTTGTTACAAAACGGAGCTGATGGCAACAAGGCTGACATGGAGGGCTTTACAACGCTTTACCATCTGTGTGATAGGGATGATGTCAATGAAAGCGCTGTCAAACTGTTGTTACAAAACGGAGCGGATGTAAACAAGACTACCGTGGAGGGCTTTACAGCACTTTACCATCTGTGTACCAGGGATCATGTTAATGAAAGCACTATCAAACTGTTGTTACAAAACGGAGCGGATGTCAACAAGGCTGGTGTGAAGGGCTTTACAGCACTTCAATGTCTGTGTGCTAAGGATGATGTCAGCGAAAGCGCTGTCAAACTGTTGTTACAAAACGGAGCGGATGTCAACAAGTCTGACATGGAGGGCTTTACAGCACTTCACCATCTGGGTGCTAGGGATGAAGTCAATGAAAGCGTTGTCAAACTATTGTTACAAAACGGAGCTGATGTCAACAAAACTGACGTGGAGGGGTTTACAGCACTTCACTATCTGTGTGCTAGGGATGATGTTAATGAAAGCGCTGTAAAACTGTTGTTAAAAAACGGAGCGGATGTCAACAAGGCTGGCGTGGAGGGCGTGACATCACTTCACTATCTGTGTGCTAGGGATGATGTTAATGAAAGCGCTATCAAACTGTTGTTACAAAAGGGAGTTGATGTCAACAAGGCTGACGTGGAGGGCTTTACAGCACTTTACCATCTGTGTGCCAGGGATCATGTTAATGAAAGCACTATCAAACTACTGTTACAAAACGGAGCGGATGTCAACGAGGCTGGCGTGAAGGGCTTTACAGCACTTCAATGTCTGTGTGCTAAGGATGATGTCAGTGAAAGCGCTGTCAAACTGTTGTTACAAAACGGAGCGGATGTCAACAAGGCTACCGTGGAGGTCTTTGCAGATCTTCAATGTCTGTGTGATAGGGATGATGTGAATGAAAGTGCTGTCAAAATGTTGTTACAAAACGGAGCGGATGTCAACAAGGCTGACGTGGAGGGCTTTACAGCACTTTACCATCTGTGTGCCAGGGATCATGTCAATGAAAGCACTATCAAACTGGTATTACAAAACGGAGCGGATGTCAACAAGGCTGACGAGAAGGACTTTACAGCCCTTCACTGTCTTTGTGTTAGGAATGATGTCAATGAAAGCGCTGTCGAACTGTTGTTAAACTACGGAGCTGATGTGAACAAGGCTGGCGTGGAGGGCGTGACAGCACTTCACTATCTGTGTACTAGGGATGATGTCAATGAAAACGCTATCAAACTGTTGTTAAAAGAAGGAGCGGATGTCAACAAGGCTGGCGTGGAGGGCGCGACAGCACTTCACTATCTGTGTGCTGGGGATGATGTCAATGAAAGCACTATCAAACTGTTGTTAAAAGAAGGAGCGGAAGTCAACAAGGCTGGCGTGGAGGGCGCGACAGCACTTCACTATCTCTGTTCTAAGAATGATCTCAATGAAGGCGCTGTCAAACTATTGTTACAAAACGGAGCTGATGTCAACAAGGCTGACATGGAGGGGTTTACAGCACTTCACAGTCTGTGTGTTAGGGATGATGTCAATGAAAGGGATGTTAAACTGTTGTTACAAAACGGAGCGGATGTCAACAAGGCTGGCGTGGAGGGCGCGACAGCACTTCACTATTTGTGTTCTAAGAATGATGTCAATGAAGGCGCTGTCAAACTGTTGTTACAAAAGGGAGCGGATGTCAACAAGGCTGACATGGAGGGGTTTACAGCACTTCACAGTCTGTGTGCTAGGGATGATGTCAATGAAAACACTATCAAGCTGTTGTTACAAAACGGAGCTGATGTCAACAAGGCTGGCGTGGAGGGCGTGACAGCAATTCATTATTTGTGTGCTAGGGATGATGTCAATGAAAGCGCTGTCAAACTGTTGTTACAAAACGGAGCAGATTTAAACAAGGCTGACATGCAGGGCTTTACAGCAGTTCATCATCTGTGTGCTAGGGATCATGTCAATGAAAGCACTATCAAACTGTTATTACAAAACGGAGCGGATGTCAACAAGGCTGACGAGAAGGGCTTTACAGCACTTCAATGTCTGTGTGCTAGGGATCATGTCAATGAAAGCGCTATCAAACTGTTGTTACAAAACGGAGCTGATGTGGACAAGGCTGACATGGAGGGCTTTACAGCACTTTAACATCTGTGTGCTAGGGATGATGTCAATGAAAGCACTATCAAACTGTTGTTAAAAGAAGGAGCGGATGTCAACAAGGCTGGCGTGGAGGGCGCGACAGCACTTCACTATCTGTGTTCTAAGAATGATCTCAATGAAGGCGCTGTCAAACTGTTGTTACAAAACGGAGCTGATGTCAACAAGGCTAACATGGAGGAGTTTACAGCACTTCACAGTCTGTGTGTTAGGGATGATGTCAATGAAAGCGATGTTAAACTGTTGTAACAAAACGGAGCGGATGTCAACAAGGCTGGCGTGGAGGGCGCGACAGCACTTCACTATCTGTGTTCTAAGAATGAGGTCAATGAAGGCGCTGTCAAACTGTTGTTACAAAAGGGAGCTGATGTCAACAAGGCTGACATGGAGGGGTTTACAGCACTTCACAGTCTGTGTGCTAGGGATGATGTCAATGAAAACACTATCAAACTGTTGTTACAAAACGGAGCTGATGTCAACAAGGCTGGCGTGAAGGGCATGACTGCACCTCACTATCTGTTTGATAGAGATGAAGTCGATGAAAGCGCTATGAAACTGTTGTTACAAAACGAAACTGATGTCAACACGGCTGACGTGGATGGCGTGACATCACTACACTATCTATGTGATAGGGATGGTGTCAATGTATGCGCTGTCAAACTGTTATTACAAAACGGAGCTGATGTCAACTAGCCTAACGTGAAAGGCAGGACAGCACTTCACTGTCTGTGTGCTAGGGATGATGTCAATGAAAGCGCTGTCAAACTGTTGTTACAAAACGGAGCTGATGTCAACAAGGCTGACGTGAAGGGCTTTACAGCACTTCACTATCTGTGTGTTAGGGATGATGTCAATGAGAGCGCTGTCAAACTGTTGTTACAAAACGGAGCTGATGTCAACAAGGCTGACGTGAAGGGCGTGACAGCACTTCACTATCTGTGTGTTAGGGATGATGTCAATGAAAGCGCTGTCAAACTGTTATTACAAAACGGAGCTGATGTCAACAAGGCTGACGTGAAGGGCGTGACAGCACTTCACTATCTGTGTTCTAGGGATGATGTCAATGAAAGCGCTGTCAAACTGTTGTTACAAAACGGAGCTGATGTCAACAAGGCTGACGTGGAGGGCTTGACAGCACTTCACTACCTGTTTGCTAGGGATAATGTCAATGAAAGCGCTATCAAACTGTTGTTACAAAACGGAGCTGATGTCAACAAGTCTGACGTGAAAGGCTTAACAGCACTTTACTGTCTGTGTAATAGGGATAATGTCAATGAAAGCGCTGTCAAACTGTTGTTACAACACGGTGCTGATGTCAACAAGGCTGGCGTGGAGGGCATGGCAATACTTCACCATCTGTGTGTTGGGGATGATGTCAATGAAAGCGCTGTCAAACTGTTGTTACAAAACGGTGCTAATGTCAACAAAGCTGGCGTTGAGGGCATGACAACACTTCACCATCTGTGTGTTAGGGAATATGTCAATGAAAGCGCTGTTAAACTGTTGTTACAAAACGGAGCTGATGTCAACAAGGCTGGCGTGAAGGGCATGACAGCACTTCACTATCTGTGTGTTGGAGATGATGTCAATGAAAGCACTATCAAACTGTTGTTACAAAACGGAGCGTATGTCAACAAGGCTGGCGTGGAGGGCATGACAGCACTTCACTATCTGTGTGTTACGGATGATGTCAATGAAAGCACTATCAAACTGTTCTTTCAAAACGGAGCTGATGTCAACAAGGCTGGCGTGGAGGGCATGACAGCACTTCACTATCTGTGTGTTGGAGATGATGTCAATGAAAGCGCTATCAAACTGTTGTTACAAAACGGTGCTGATGTCAACAAGGATGGCGTGGAGGGCTGGACAGCACTTCACTATCTGTGTGGTGGAGATGATAGTACTGCCCAAGTGATGATCCATCGTGATCCAGTGAACATGACTGAAGATGATGAGAGTAGAAGACATCAACGGTGTATTTGTATCTGCTGCTGATGTAGCTGCAGTAAGAACTCAATCCATCAACACGTTCTTGTTGTCAACAATAATGATTAAATCCCTAGTGGTGGGTAGGTAATGATCAACATATGTTTAACCCAACTGGTGATTCATTCGTGTGTTTATATGGACACGTGTGACAAGGGAAGGCTTAGTGAGATTAGGTACACGAAGCTGAGGGTCAAATAAGTCCTCAGCAAATGGCAAGACAGTAATTCACTCTCTCTGTGTCACTTAATGCCAACAAGAGCAAATGGGCCAGCATAATGTTGTTGGAAAGGTTTATTTCAAGGATGAAACATTGAAATGTTTGTTTCGGACTGTAAAAAAAGTGTGTAATTTTCAAGACAAGCAGTTATATTTATATACACAGTACATACTAACATTTAAAAGGCAAGCGTACACATAAACCGAAACTGTTACGACTTCCGACATTTGCAGATTATGATCAGACAGCGTTGGACGTATACGAGCCCATATCGTCATGCACATCATGCGATATGGGATTATTGTTGCTACATGTGGGACAACTGCACAAAGGCTACAAACTGACTAATGCTGGCCTTACTAATTCTGTGAAGTTACATCAAGGCCTTCTGGATTTTGTGTTCGTTTCTCTTCATTTTTTTCTGCTCCGAGTCCTAAAATACAGTCTGGCTCAAACAATAAAAAATGTATTTATTTCGTTAATATATCACCGACCCTTGGAAAAAAGGATTTCCCGTTTTAGTAAAACAATTCCCTCTGTATTTTGTCATCTCTCTTTCGAGGAAGGGACGTACCAGTACCTATTGGTTCAGTTTGTTCCCTTTTAAGCTCTCATTACTGAGCATATGGACGCGAAACACACAGAGACAGAAGTGAGAATGAGCATGATAGATTGCTAGTTCAATGTTTGAGGAGAAATAAGCATATTTAGACAACACTGTACCATCTCATTCGGTGGGGTTGCTGCTGTTTGTTTAACAACTCGAACACATCCCCGAGGGTGATCTTTTTATTCAGATCGAATTGGTGTGTTCATTTGTTTTAAATTAGTATCTAAGTTCATATGGTATTCGTCAAAACCATGCAAGGAAATTAGGTTCATGTTAATGTGAGGGATCCCGAGTCAGAATTCCCTAGCAACCCTAGCAGCCCTAGCAACCTATGCTTGTCGTAAGAGGCGACTTAATGGATCGGGTGGTCAGGCTCAGTGACTTGGATGATGGCGTGCCAACGTACCCGACGACGTTGATCGTTGCTCACAAGACTAGATTATTTACATGCCACTGTCATAGAGCTGGAATAGTGTTGAGTCGGGTGTTAATCAGCAAACAACAAACAAACATCATGTCGAGCAACATTCCAGCAGCTCGAGCCTTTGGTGTCTATATTTTAACTTGGCTTTGCACGTGTTTGTGACAGATGCCACCAGTGGGACAAGATGGGCTCACCTTTTCGGAAACACCTGGTATCGTCACTATTCACTAGTGATTCATAAACACATTCCTTACGATATAGTCGAAATCGTACAATGACTTTAACAGATATTTCGTAGGATAATTGAAAGGATTTAGTCACTTTAATCTACGATTATAGAAAACGTTTGCTTTTATCTAAATTAACAGGGTTGGTCATACACAACATATTCACTCTCAAATTTAACAACTGAAAGGTTTAACCCTCTGAAATGTGAATGCTTGTCCAATACATATTTCACATTGTGATTGAGGGAAATATGTAATATTCGATGTATGATATATTTTGTTTGCTTTTTTGTCTGACTGAAAATAGTATATAATATATGATGTTTGTAATATACATAGCTGGTTTTATGGTATGGCCTAGAGTCACGGGTCAGAACATTTTTTTAAATCTCCTGTTTCGTCACCACTATGATTTGTACAATTCCATTAATGTTGAGTATTTGGGGAAGTATTTTGTTCTATCATTATTCCTATAGCGTCATGATGGTTAAATTGTTTTGTTGTTCAGACTCGTTTCATATAAAACTATGGTCGCTAGGATGTATCGTTGGCTGAATGGCGGTTAACGATTCTTAACTAGCTTTAGGAATCTATTTACTGACTATGTCATTATCTATATTGATGCCACAGTTGATTTCAGGTAAATTGTAATTCTGTTTGATCTAGTAGATAGAATGTCTGCCCGAGAGCAAAAGGTCGGTGATACGATCCCCAGGCAGTCATTAAACCTCACCAGTAATGATTTTTTTTTTTTTTTTTTTTTTAAATATGTATTATTCAATTCAGTATATGATACTACAAAGTTATACATTGAGTAGCACGTCATGTGGAATACTTATTAGGTGGAGGTTACATACCTCTACAGTAGATAGCAAAATTAAGTTGGCTACAGGTGTCCTACAATGTTTACAAATGGTGAAATGGGCAGGCTACATTTGCCATGTTTATTAACTAAGTGTGAAGCTAAATCCTTACAGTACATTTGTGGAAATTGTTCTTGTAAAAAATTTTTAAAAAATACGGACATATTACCCAGAAAACTCATTTGCCAAAGTTTTCCATTTTCTGTCAAACTGTCTTATTGTATTGTTTTTGTGTGCAATTTGATATATCAATAAAAGTCTTCAGAAACCTTTCAAGTGAACATTTCTTTTTCTTAATACTTGATACAAGTATGTATTTTTTGCATGCCAGTATGATGTGATTTAACAGAATGTTAGAGTTGTACCCAAGTAAAACAGAGCATTTTGTAAATGTAAATTTTGTGAACATTTTGCATTCAGAAAAATTCGACTTTCGCCCCAAACCTTTTAACATGCTTACAATCCCTATATACATGAAGTAAGAATTCAGTATCAGTTTCGCAAAATGATTACAGATCATCGAGAATTTTCTTTTTAAACAATCCTTTCTTTGTATAGATGATGCGATGAATAAATTTATATTGAAATTCAAGTAATTTTACATCTTTTGTACATTTCCTGTATCTGATAAAAACATTCTTCTATGATATATCTAAGTCGAGAATGGTATCCCATTTTTCACAGACTGTTGGGAGATTTGCTGTAGTTATAGTCTAATCATAAAAATATCTGGAGCCTTTAGGCGCTACAAGTAAGTCCATCAAAGTGGTATTTAAATGTTGATTATATAAGATAATGTGATTATTTCTAAAAGCATCTTTCCAGGTTTTGGTATGTTTAATAGAACTTGGTAATAGTCAATAAATGGCCTTTAATTTGGTATTTTCTTTTAAGTCCATTGAAGGGCATTATATCATCTTCATTACAGAGATCTTTAATAGTGTAAATTCCCTTTAAAAACCAATTTCTTATAATGAAATCAGGTTGTTTTTTAAACTGATGGTTACACCAAAGAGGTTCTGATAGTACTTCTTCAATTTTTGTGGAGTTAGTTTTGTGTCTTCTATACAGTGTTCCCCAAGCAGCCAAAACATTTCTCCTGTAAGGGTTAGCTAAGTGCATACATTTTTCAATATTGGCCCAAAGTAGGAATATGTTTTTGGGTGGGAAGATGCTAGGGTATTACAGTTTATGTTTTGGAGATGTTTTTTGGGAACTGACAGTTTTAGAGAAATTATAAAAGACTTTACCTCTATCATTCTCAGTCTGCCTTCGTCATATTTTCTAATTAAAGTTGTTCTTTTTATTCTGTCCCTTTTATCATTCCAGATGAATCTACAATAATTTGTTTAGTTCATCAATAAAAACACCTGGAGTGTTTGAAAGAGAGGAATTTATATGAACTAAGTTGGTCAAGTCGAAGGCTGTGACAACAGTGATTTTACCTATCAATGTAAATTTCCCACCAATTTCCTAAAAGTTGATTAATTATTTCAATTCTCTTCTTTGTATTTATTACGCACAGATTATTTAAGTTCGAATTAAGCTTTATTCCCAATATCACAAAGTCCCCACTGTGCCAGTCTAGTTTCAGATCCTGACATAGTTTGATGTCACAGCCTGTCATTGAGCCTATCCATATTGGTTTTATTTTATCAATGTTAATTTTTGATCCTGACATTTTATAAAAATCATTTAGGGTGTCAATCACTGTACTTAAACTTTCATCAGTCCAATCTAGAAATATTGCAGTATCATAAGCATATTATCCAAGTTTATGTTCCACATTATTCAGTTTGATACCTTTTATTGCATTATTATCACGAATCATTATTCCCAACGTTTCTTGCAACAAACAGGAATAGATATGGAGACAATGGGTCGCCTTGCCTACATCCCCTTTCGTTACAGAAGAATGTAGATAGGTGTCCATTTTGGATGATGCAAGATGAAGCATTATTTATAAGTATGTATATCCATTTTCTTATATTAGGTCTTTTCCAGTGTCAACATGGTAAATTGTTTTGAAACAGTATCAAAAGCTTTTTTCAAAGTCTATAAGTAATAGTAAACCAGGCTTATTTTGTAATTTTGTTTCACACAAAATATCATACAGTAGTCGTATGTTTTCGCTTATACAACTTCCAGGGATAAAGCCAGTTTGGGTTTCTTGTATAAGAGTATTAAGTGTTGTTTTAATTCTGTTTGCTATACATGTACTCAAAATTTTATACAATGAATTTAAGAGAGAATTTGGTCGCCAGTTTTTGAGTAGTTGGTTATCTTTAGTGCCTTTGGGTATACAGGTAATGACACCTCTATTCATTGTTAGACTCAAAGTGTTATTTCAAAATGTTTCTGTAATATATCTGTATACCCATATTCCAAGATCTTTCCAGAAGAATTGGAAAAAATCAACAGGGAATCCACCAATACCTGGGCTTTTGTTATTTTTCATAGATTTTACGGCCTTTGTTATTTCATTCATGTTAATCATGTCTTCTAAATAATCAAACTGTGATTTAGTTTTGGTGTGTTAAGTTTGTGTAATAAATTTTTGGATGAATAAGTTATTTCTCCACTTGAAGAGCATATTTCTCATAAAAATTTCTTTGTTCAGTTAAGATGAATTGTCCATCAACTCCCCTTATAATACTGTTAATCAGTGTACTGGTATAGTTCCTGTTTTCAAGGTGAAAAAAATATGTTCATAGTTTTTCTCCTTCCTTGTACCTATTGGTCCCTTGATTCTTCTTTTAATTTTTCCAAAAGTACTTTATAATTAGACATGTCTGACAGCTTTGATTCACTCATCAAAAATGTTTCTAAAAAAGAGTATCACTGATTTTTAGTTTTAAGTTTAGATCTTCAGTTTTTCTGGCTTCATCTTTGGAATATTACTTTTGAACATTCTAGCTTTGTTTTTCTAGTGTATCTTTCACTTTTTGGATATATTCATTGTTAAACAGTAAAGATGTATTCAACTTCCAGTAGCCCACTGCGAGGCTACAACTTGCTGTTTCCCTAAAGTGGTAAGCAACTGAGAACTGCATCACTTTACACTTTTCTCCCATATTCCATGCTGTGACAACGCTACAAAAACGTGGCATTAAACACATCTCATTCTCAGTCTAAGCATCAGTAATTTTGTAATTTGAAGTTTAAATAATATACTGCTTTTCCACTGGACGATAGGTCGGTCACATGGCCGCGAAATTGACGTTCATAAGTGGCCGCGTAATAGACGTTTATAAGTGTTTGAACGACACAAATTGACGTTCATCCTTTTTTCACGAAACCGTGTTCTTGAAATGACGTAAACACTGATACTTCCCCATTCCCAGGGAAATACTTGGGAATTCCCAAGCACGAATACATGCAGAAGCGTTGTTTCTCATCATTTAGACCCTTTAATCTTGAAATTAGCGTTTTAGCATACCTTGGGATAAGTCAGAGAGATGGCACGTCGCTACAACCCATCCTAGAGAAGAAATACACATCCAAACAACCGTAGTATCTACTCCATCCGATTCTAGGCTGCAGTGACAGTCTACAGCATAAGGTGAATGTACATTGGTATATGTTTGACGTATCTTTTCAATCACATTTCGGTGATCGGGCAAATGATCAATGATGACTGACACTTGTAATAGCCACAGGTTCCTTAAAAACTTCGGAAATATCTCCCTAACGTTTATCGTGTCGGCCATTTTGACGTCTTGTACTTGGTGTTAATGTATTACGACGCGCTGTTTTTGTGACTGACTTACTGAGGCAGTTCTCCAATGGAAGCAATCAAATCCCCGGCCTGGGAAATGTTCACCCACTCTTCCTGCACTTCTAGTGCCATCTGTCGGAGGTTCTGCGGCTGTTGCTGACGTGCTCGCAGTCGTTGATCCAGTGCATGCCATAAATGTTTAAAAAGGTTTAAATCCACGAGACCCGGATGTCGCGATTCCTCAAAAAGGCTGTTGTCAGTCTTGCTGTGTGAGGTCGGGCGTTGTCTTGTTGGAAACTGACGTTCGCTTTGAATAATGAGGAGGACGTGTGGCGGAAGAATCTCATCCGTGTAACGTTGTGCCGTTGAATTACCTTGAACTTGCGCCGTAAATCTTTCTGGCCAGTCTGATATATTAATTTTTATTTTTTTTTCTGCGTTGAAAAACAGTAATTTTCCCCGCTTTTTATCGTACACCGATTAAAGTACTGTGCGCCATTTTTTTTTTTATAAAGAAGCTTTACGGAAACTCTGAGCGAACAAAATACTGCCTAATATCTGAACGACATAACTACATATCAAATGGAGTTATATGCGTATGTATAACGACATACATTCAATTCCAAAAAAATAGCATGCCGTAAATGACGAAAACTGATTTTTCTCTATGACGTCAAAAGGTGACAGAGAGGTTACACACGTACAAAGAAAAGGGGGCATAACTCCGCTATGCTAAGCTCTAGTTTGTTGTAACTCAGGTCACTTGGTGAGAATTAGCTGTGGGTAAGGACAGTATATTTTCGTTGTGTTTTGTTCAGGAGGAACCAAATTATTCCAACACAAATAACGATATTGAAACTGTACACGTTTAGTTATAAAATATACCCATAAGAATAATGAAATCGTACTTCACAAAAAGGAGGTAATAGAGAAATGGAAGGCCTTATCTAACCTATAACTTAGTCCTTAGATTCCAACATTCTCCTGATTGTGTAAGTGTAATTTGACTAATGTTGCATCATTATTAATGGAGCACAAGCCTTATCATCAAATGTAATAAAATACCCTAAAAATAACACGATTCATTTTGACGTCATGGCTGGTTTTATGTCTTTGATAACGTCAGAAAAAGACGACACTGGTATTTTGATTAATATATATTTCCTCTAATTTTCGTTCATGGTATGGAAAATTTCGATGTGTGGAACGGAATTTAACGCTTTTTCGACACAACATAAAATGACTGCTCTCACCAAGTAAATAATGTCTTGAATTTGTAAACAATTAGATAGTTTATCGGGTATCTTAATTGGACGAGACACGCGCCTGTTTGGCATCAATTTGCGTAATGAAATTCCCAAAAGAATAGTTCAAAACAACCAAAATTATATTCAATATTGGACATATATTTGTTCATGATTATTTTATTTTTTCTTACACAATAAAAGATGAAAGAAAGCTCTATTGGTATAGAATTATCAGGATAATCGTATACGTTTGAACCAACGGGGTACCTGGCATGGCTTTTATTTTTTATACATTTTACAATTCCTCGAGAAATAAAGTAAACTGTTTACTAGGCTGTGATCAAAATATTGAAAAAATAATGTAACCATTGATTATATAATGCAAAACGAGAGGAATAATTCGTAAATTGTTTGTGACTAACGCGCACCTGGCGAATCGTTGGATATCACTGTTCTCTGTATCCAACGACATAAAAGACAAACCCAAGACCAAGACATTTCAGAAATGTGTGCATATATTTCACCGAAAAATATTATCCATTTTGTTAAAGTAATATATTCAGTTTTAGTTATAAAATAAAATGAAACGGCTATTCATGGACATTGGTTATATGAACGTATAATGTTGACTTATTACACATTCCAAGAAATACGTACATGCTGCAGTAACATTTACACTTCATCTTCTAACACTTGTCCAAAGGAAAGAAATATCGTAGTCGACACTATAAACCTATCACATTGTTATGTAAACAATGTTCAAACATACAGGAGATTATCAAAGGTTCGTTCATACATGTTTTGGCCTATACGTACGTATGATTTTATTTTGAACATTGACAATATCCAAAGTGAAATTAATTGTGTGAAAAAATGTATAAAAGACATGCAAAATATACACCATAACTGAAACTGATACACTGATCGTGTGCACTCTTATTCAAGGACCTTGACCTCAAAGAAATTACCAAATATGTACAACAATGTTGACGTATGACATCACTACCTGTGACCCACTTTTACAAAATGGCGTGTACACTTTCAACAGTACGCGGGATTGTACGAGGGGACTTGCATTGATTCAGGGATCGTATAAACATAAATGTGACATGTAAGTAATCAGAAACATTCATACAATCTATGTACTGTTATTTGTTGTCATAATTTTCATTGAAACAAACGGAAATAGTCAGAAATTCCGATAAATACCGTTGTCGTTGTGCGTGATTTTGCGTAAGTCATGGCGTCAACCAGAACGGTAACTTTGACAACTTCTGTTGAAAATATCAAATCATTGCAATGTATCTATTTGAAATTCCCTAATTCTTCCTACGATTCTCTTCCTATGCATATTCTGAAAATATTGAGCCAATATTTTGAACGAATAGACGAATGGAAAGCTCCAAATAGGAGAATATGCTACACTGTGTAAAATCTGAATTTTGCTTTGTTTACATTTCAACCATGTGCAGTTTTTCGAGCACGGCGTTCGTTCGTGTTTTCGTTTTTATCCAAAACATTCTATACGATTCTAGGGTTATCGGAGACGTTTTGGAATGATCATTGGTGATTTCATAAAAGACAGATACCCGTGATCACTAATATGCTATTTTTGAAATTCATTTCTCCGAGTAAATATCCGAAATGTAGATTTCAAAACATGCTGTAAATAACGCCGTGAGTGGTGATTTAGTAATGTGTAAAAAATGGCGACATTTACGATGTACCTAATTTTCAGAGGTCATCTTCAGTACTTTTGCTTGGCCTAAAATGCCAGTGATATCATGATATGATATCACAGAACAGGGAATTACCCACCTTATTCAAAACTGTAAAGTGTAGTTGTGTGGGTGATGTATTTTGAATATTATTTGACTTCAAAGTGAGGGTTGTAGAGGAGGGACATATATGTCCCTGTGGCATCCAGGGGGTTTAACATTTTTGTCCCTACACAAAACGCAAAATCCACATGCGAAGGAATGTTTGAAACCTTCACAAATATTTTGGTTAAAAGATTGAAAATGGTCAAATATCTACGCATCTATGTATTAATTAGCTAATGAAACCAACCAAATGACCAGTTTATCGATGGTGAATGGAGTGTATAATTATTTTTTTACAGTATTTGTTCAAGGCCTCGTTCATCACATTCATATCAAAGCGTATTCAAAAACATTCATACAGTTATACATACCTACTGACATCTGTAAAAAACAGTCTGTGTGAAAATGGCGTTGTATATGCTCAGGCAGTTTGTTTGCACCGTAATACTTCACGCACACATTATGACGGGCACTGACAGCATATGTTAATATTATAGAATCATGAAAAGTAATATTGAAATTGAGGCGTACCTCTGTAAACTTGAATTTAAACAATTAGAATTGCACTAGCACGATTTAGATGTTCCTCTCACAACCTGTGTAACGGTTCAGGGGGTGGGTATTGGGATACAGCTTTGGGTAGCGAATTGTGGATCACTCCAAATACCACCAACCACACAGTTTTAATTAATTTACTTTTCAAGAAATTACAAGAATATAATTATTCTTTTCAGTATTTCATTCAGTTAGGAAGATGTACAATAAATATAAAATACTTGAATGTCAACTCACACATCTCGGCTCCAACCGGCTATCACTCTCTTGTCTCAGAAATTCTTCCACCGATCCAACTGTCAACAAAGTGACGTCATACCGGAAGTAGTCTCTCGCACGAGGATACGGTCGGTGGTACGTGGGGGAATTGCACTCCACCATTGACAGAAGTTATTTTACTTCGTGTCACGGCTATGTAGTAATATACAATGCATTTAGAACTGAACAGACTTAATGCAAATCCTACTGGAATCGTCTAAAGAATAATTCATTGTTTACACACCATTAACCCAAACTAACTATTTACGACATGCATTTTCCAGAGGTGTAATAATTCATTTTGGCTGTCTTGAGATACAGAATATGACTATTTATTTGAAAACACAAAAATAACAAAAATATTTTTATGCAGATCTACTGTTTGAGAAACGTATCTTCCACCCCTCATCCCCACAAATGGTTGAACCAAAGTGCACTTTTTAAACACTTGTCAAATGTTGAAAAATACCAAATCATATAAAAATTGTCTTTTATTTCAATGCCAGCATTGTATTTGATTTAAAAGTTGGCTTTAAAGCTCTGATTGTTAGGTGTTGTCCTCTAAAGGATGTGATGAGTTTGATTACATCCCCTGTCCACGTTGTTGAACATTGTTTGATGTTTCCCGTTGAAGAGACCCCTGCTGTACTGTTATGAACATTCTCATTTACAGGTTTATCGCTGTACATTTAAACTTACTGTATTCCAAGGAAATTTATCATGATCTATTTACTATATGAAGATCTGGATTATGTCTAAAATTGTTCATGCTTTTTGTGTGAATGCGTTCATTTTACGCCGCTTCTAACAATACTGCCGCCATATGACGAGGATACTGAACCCATGTTAGAAATCGAACCCGGGCCTTTGCGTCAGATCAGATTTTATTTTCGAAGATACCCTACTGATACTGTTGTTTGGCTTGGCATTTTCACCTTGCTTCACAGCCATGGGATCCCGGGTAGGAATATAGGTCCTCGGTAACCGAGGCTTGTAAGAAGCACCAAACAGGATCGGGTAGTCAGTCTCGGTGACTTGGTTGATGCATGTCATTGTATCCCATTTGCGTTGATAGATGTTCATGACATCAATCGCTGCATTATCTGCTCCAGACCTGATTATTAACAGACCGCCGTCATGTAGCTACAATATTGATGGCGCGGTTAAACAACAAACAAACAACCCTGCCCTTGCTCATGCTGGGTGTGGCCTGAATCCCTTCATCACTGCCGGTTTTCTGACTCGCCCTCAGATAACCAAACTCGCTCGCCACACACTTACCAAGGGTATATATAAGGGTATATGTTGGCCCGATGAGGCGACTTAAACCGCCAACAGAAAATTCAAGGGGCGTAACTCTGTCTACCCTAATGTACACATTGACGTCACAAACGTAGCACGTTGTTGCTCCAATCAAATGTTGAATAATTCAGACTTTGTTTGTTGTTGAATGCCGCCCTCAGCAGTATTCCAGCTATTTGGCGGCTGTCTGTAAATAATCGACAATCAAGTGATTGATGACATTATGAGCATCGATCTACGCTATCTACCCAGTCAGCGAATCTGACCACTGGTCCAGACTCGCTTATTTACAAACCGTCGTATAGCTGGAAAATTGCTGAGT